ATAGATAGATAGATAGATAATCAAAATACAATTTAAAAACTAAAATAGAACAATAATAATAATAACAACCTCTTAAACTATAATATGTATTGAAAATGCACTGTACAATGATAGTGCAGTAATACATTGTACATTAATATTGCAAGTCAAATAGATATACAGTGTATATGCTGTACAGCAAGGTGTAGGATTGTCTTTGGCTATGGATGCAGAATAACTGCATTTTCTGCATAAAAGATGCTCAGACTGGAAGCTCAAATCCCAGTCCAGTGTCCACTGAAAGATATGGGATTTAAACCCTAGTCTCCTATGTGGGATTGAAATAGACATCCACAAATCTGCCAAAAGAAAATCTTCCCATTGGAGTATATTAAGCTAATGGTTCTCGGGCATGGCCACATGGTAACACATTCCTTTGACCTACCCTCATTACGCAAACTGCTCCAACTCAGACACCAGTCTCAGAAGGTCTCAGACAGAGTTAGTCTACAGCTAAACACAATGCATAATGATTGAAAAAAAGTGAACATTTCTTTCATTTAAAGAATAACATATTGCAGGCCCATACACTCCCACTCCACAGCTCCCGTATCACTTTCTCAAGACAGTTGCTGATACTGAACTGACAGCAAAAACTTATTGTCCCACACAAAACAACTTCCAAGTTGGATTTAAATTCTGTCAAAGAATACACAAGGCGTACAGACAAGTTTGTTGTAAAGAACCCCTCTCCTAGATGGGAAATAACAAGTCTTGTCCCTTCGGCTTTGCACCCTTTAATTTGCATTGTCATGGAAAACCGCTGGATTTGGATAGGGCACAGAATCATTGAGGTCACCATAATAGAGTGTGACAGCTCCTCTTTTCACAACTATTTGTAAAGTAAAATCAAAATTCCTGGGAAAGTGAATCTAGGGAGTATAGAAATATCTCATACAGCTTTGGAAACAGCTGTTAAGACTGCATATTTAATAAGGCGTGGAATACATATTGATACGAATTATACCTGCATTCATTTCAAACTGGATACATGAGGTTTTGTATGTACAAATAATAGAAAATGTGAGTTTGGGAGATTGGCAATATCTTACATTCAGAAAGTATGTTATAAAGAAGCAGCAGTACTGCAGCACTTACCATTTTTATTTTTGGTTTGTACACTGGGAGTACTGTGTATAACTTGCATTTCATATGACTTTTAAAGAGAAAAGAAAAAAACATTTGCCAACTCAACATCTTGCCTGTACAATCCCCACAGTCCATTAGAATTCACAGACTGTCTTTGACTAGGAAAGCCCCTTTACGCTTTCTCAAATTAAAAATCTCATGGCTGATCCCCTCCATCGCCCTGGCTTTCAGATATTGACCTTGTGGTGCTACAAAATAGCTTCTTCCTCACTGCGGGACCCCATAATGAGCCAATACAATGAGGCTTCAGTTCACTGCTCACCTCTCTTTGGTGTCTCTCGGGGTCTTTGTTGACGTTTGTCAGCCCAGGAGGAATTTGGGGGTTAGAATTCTGCTGTAGTCTAGCTGTAGACTCAGACAACAACTTTGACTCCCAGACAGAAGCATGAAGGAGGAAAAAACTTGGTCAGAGATAAAAAGGCTTCGACCTTACAGGGAAGAAAAATCAAAGGAGGTACTTGAATAAAGATTAAGCACCATTCTGAATTTCAGCCAAATTGGCAAAGATTTGGAAAGGGCAAGAATTTACACACCTGGCATCTCTAAAATTGGAAACCAATGAGGGTCATATTTTTAAACTTGGACCAATTTTCCTGCAAAGATTTGTTGTGCAATGTAACTTGAATCCAAATAAAGAAAGGTGGGACTGGTTGGAGTGAGTTCAGTTTTGTCCATATAGACGTGTCAAGCTGCAAACAGCTCTACACAAAATCTGACTGGTAAGCAGATGGGCAACCCCATTGTATGTCTCATCTATGAACCCTGACTAAAGCCAGTCAACCCTACATGGAGATGAACCCCAATCTAATACTGTACAGGGTTGAATGAAGTAGAACTAGTTATATTAGTTATAATGTGTCCATGAAAGATAAAAATGTCACTGCTAAGATGTGTGTGCAGCATGTATGTATATAAATGAGGTCATAATACTGGACAACAACTGCAAATGCACATTTTTTTTACTCAATGTTGAGTAAATTAAATAAGAATATGCCCTGAAATCTCTGTTATGCTATCCTTGTGCCTGGTGTTAATGTAGCCTAATTATAATTTTTCCTTAAAGCAAACAGAAGAAAAACATAAAATATTGACAATGCCGTTTCTGTTCTATTCTATCCATCTTAATATATCATAAAGCAAATATGAACACATTTTCATGCGCAGTTCTCACCAGAAGGCTGTGATTACACATACTGATGTAATTATGTGTGAATAGTTAACACAGAGAAGCAATGCTGAATATGCAAATGGTCATATTAATGGTCTGGCCTTTGTTTTTTAAAATAATTTCATATAAAGCCACTGTACTCACAATAACAACAAGCCAAGCCATGCCAAACATACAAGGCATTTACTGTGTGTTCCCAATTCAACCTAGAAGTGTTAATCTTACCTACTGTACATTCATAACCTACTAGTATTCCCTATAAAGATGTATACTTATAAAAGAAGAACATATCTATAGAAGTCTGAATAAAACCTCATAATATGTCTTTAAAGAAGCCACATTGAAAACAATAGCACAACAAATACATCCCCCATAACAAACGCTTGTAATAGAGTGCATGCAGTTATGTGATATATATGTATTGTACATCAGCATTGCAGGTCAGCTCTATAATGGTCACCCAGTGTGTTTACCTGCCCTGTCACACAGCTCGCTTATGTGCAGTAAACCGATCAGGGCAGCTCGGTGTTTCCCACCCACAATGCATCATCGCTGCAAACACAGCTCTGCCATGTTTGTACTCCGGTCGTGGATGGGAGTCTTTGCCGCATAGAAGCTGTTCTCACGTTGTTGTTTTTTTATACCCTCGTAATGGTGAAATACTGACGATTAAATGCACTTCAGCTCTGTAGTGTGACTCTAAGCGGGACGCGCCTTGCACCATGTCAACCAACGCTCAGGGTGAGTAAAGTCAGCGGCTTTCTGTCGACAACGCTGCGGTAGCCATGTAGCCAGTCGGGCTAACACGGCTGCATTGATTGTAGGCCACAAACTGGACCTCGGCTGTGGTTGGCTAAATTATCACTTAACAAACAAACAAACAAACAAATAAAACAAACAAATAAACACCAATGCTCGACACTCTTGGTTGTAAACGGAGACAAGGTTAAAGATTGTCAGCAGCTGCGTTTTGTAAATGCTCGTAAACAATTTAGCTGGCTAACTAACTAGCTTTACCCATCTCGTAGAAGAACATTTCATACTTTAATAACGCATTGAGAGTGGGATCACTGCTGTTTGCCGTGTTTAATGTACTCTGGAAATGTTAAAGTTGGTCACATTATGTTTTAAAGTGAACAATGGCTCCACAACGTCAGATGTTTGGGGGCTCAAACGCAGGCTAACGTTAGCCGCCGCTGGGAGCTATCCTTGATTCCGCAATGGTTCATAAAAAAAACACGCAGATCTTCGGCCGCAACTCATCCCCACTGTTAGTCACAACGTTTTAGTGTTTGTTTGTTTGTTTGTTTGCTGGCCTTGCCGCCAAGGTTGGGGCTGAGTGTGTACGCGCACTGATACATGACGCAGTTTACGCGGTGTTTTTATTTGACATCTTTTCATTAGCATCGGGCTGCAGTGGCCATCAGAGGATAGGTAGGATAGCAGCTTAGTTATAGTTCATAGTCTATACAGGTGACTTAAGGTGGCGAAATACATGCACCTGGCCTGTGGACACAAAAGTGGCACTAATGGGGTAGTTATGGTCTCAATGAAGCTGGATTCTCCAAAGGATGTGGTTTATGAAGATGGTCTTTGGGCCTGGTGGTCTGGCTTTACCTTAAAGCTGCAGTAGGTAACTTTAGTAAAAGTAACTTTTTTTTAATCATACTTGCTGAAACTTTCACTGTATCCTCACAGTAGTACATGAGGCAGATAATCTGTGAAAAAATGGCATTTGAAAACAAGCAATCAGAGCCGGAAAGGTTATATAGACGCTTTGGGTTGGAGGCTTTAAGATAGTTGATTAAGTCTCGTTATCTGTCTCATGTTTCAGCAAATATGACAAATAATTGATAATAGAAAAAAGATCAAATATACCTACTGCAGCTTTAACCTCTCACCCTAATGAGAACTCATATCACGACGCCTTTATTCCACAGTATGATCTTTAAACTTAAAACACATTTAGTCAGGTTATATGTCCATATAACTAATATATTTTTGTATTGACCTGCGATTAACATACTGTACAACTTCAGTTTATTGCCCCGGGCTTTTATTGGATTCAATCACTGAACTCAGCCCCCCTTTATTTGGAACAGGCATCTGTATGGGAATTTCCTTTGTACAATATTCTTGCTCACCAAAGATGGGAAATACTATCAAATTGATTATTTAAACCGGTATGAATATTGCTTCTACAGTATAAAAATATGGTTAGTGAATAATATATCAATTGCAAATCATTCATTTGATCTTGGTGCTCATGATTATGTAAAATAAACAGAATTACTGAATTGTGGAGAATCTATCTAACAATGTGTAGCATGTCCATATTAATAAAAGTCTAAGCAGCTTAGAACTCGCTCAAGCGGTCCAAAGTGTCTATAAAATCCAGACCAGGCGTCTAATTGAGACAAAACGTATAGCCACTTCAGGCCAGTAAAGTGGAGTTTAACGGTATATTCACGCAGCAGCTTTTCTCTTGGTGAAGTTTGCTTCATTAACCAATTACTCATTATCATCTGAATACAAAAACTTGGTAATTACAGCACGGTCGTATAATATTTGCCATTGTGCCGTTCATTAAACCACCGACTGGTGCAAAATGAAGTGTAGGATACAGAGGGTTGCCAGCCAGACTGTTATGACTGAGAAGGTCTTGAGAGACTCGAGAGCTTCAAGCGCAGAGACTGAAATGTCAGACCTCATCTTAAAGGTCCAGTGTGTAACATTTAGGAGGATCTGTTGGCAGAAACGCAATATAATACTCACAGGTATGTTTTCATTAGTGTATGATCACCTGAAAATAAGAATGGGGTTTTCGTTACCTTAGAGTGAGCTTAGAGTGAGCTGTTTATTTACAGTGGGAGCGGGTCCTCTTCCACGGAGGACGCCATCTGGAACCGCCATGTTTCTTCATTAGCCTAGAATGGATGAACCAAACAGGGCCTTTTGTGTTTTCACTGGTTTTGGGGCCACCATAGTTTCTCCTACACAATTCACAATCTGTTCTCAAATACAGACGCAAGTAAATAATAAGTAAATAATAAAATGATTGCTGAGATTCATTGAGTTGCTTTAGTTTCATGGTCCTGGTCTTGTGCATGCTGGCTCACTGTAACACTGTCATAATAACTGAAGCTTACGGCATGCTTCCTGCGGAAACTTGCACCCCATCACCTCTGTGGGTGTGCACGCTCTGTCCACAGCAATTAATGTGTACGTAATCATGCGAACCACACTCTGGTCCATGTGGATGCTGTGGACAAATGTAGAGCTAAAGCAAGCACATGGGAGATTGGGATTTAAGCACAAGCACTTTTATTTGGAAATGTTTTATTTTGCTTAGTGTTTTAGTTTGAAATGTTCAATCTTTACAGCTCCAGTGAAGCACTTTAAACACTATTTTTCTTTTATTATAATTGTGCTTCAATAAAGACAAGCATTTCTCTACACCTTATTCTTGTTTAAAAATCATTCACCATTATATGAAAGTTATGGAGAGCGATAAAAAGGTGACCTTATGGCGTTAAAGGCGACGCAACAAAAATCGGGTGCACCTAAATTTTGTGCTGGGCCACTAAAAAAAAAAGTTAGGCGCACCAGTGCAACACATTCAAAAATTTAATCTGGAGCCCTGAATAGAGCAATGAATCACGTGTTATTGAAATCGCAATTTGGCTAAGTGCAATATCCAAATCACGGAAGCTGCAGATAAAAGGTAAAATATGTGAACAATACAGTTATTATAATGAGAATTGAATGCTGTAGTGCTGTAGAGATGCCTTGGCCTACAAAATCTGGCTTATCCAGATGTAGAAAAAACGTTTGTTTGGTAACCAGCCCAACAAATACCACATCATCATGATTTTTAGCATTTTCTTTTCCAGTCTAAATTATGTGTGAAAAAAAAAAAAAATCACAATAGAATGTTTTTATCATATCGTGCAGCGATAAGACTGGCCCGTTTGCCCGGTAAGTAAAATGCCACATCTGGCTAGCAAATCTGGCACTTGGCCTGATCAAGTGAGAGTTACACAGCGCAGTACGATCAGGCACTGGCGAGAAAATGGGAGTGGGTGAGGACAAAGTTTATGAGCAGAAGCACAAGTGAGTGTTTCAATTATCCTGGAATCAGGGGTTTAGTCGGGTGGCTTCAGAATAGGTAAGCGAAACTCCAACTTATGCTGCAGCAGTTTGCCACAAGTTTGAGATGTAATAGAATAAAAGAGGCTTGTTTTTCAGACAGAGGACCTTGCATCGTGCAACAAGCATCCTGGATAGGGGAGGGGTACTGGTTCAAACATTTTCACTGAGACATGACACATTGATTGCTCACTATACAATGTTTGAAAATCGTGAAACATGTTCGTTACGAAGAGTCGTCTACAAATGTCTCATTTCAGTCAACAGTCTAAAACTAAAGATTACTGTTTACGATGATAAAACAGAGAGAAGCAGCAAATTCCTCACATTTAATGAAAGAAATATCGCCAGGGCTCCACACTGGCTTTCTCAGTTGGTGGCACTAGCACATAGTTTAGGTTGCACCCTTTAATTTGGTACAGCAGCGTTGAATCAGTGACCTTCGTGCTGATGAACAGAAAAGCCCCACACTGAAAAGTTTTTCAATCACACATAACCATGAGCTCTACCAAACACTCAGGGTCTGTTTGACTGAGTGGAGGCAGAAATCCTGGCCGAGTAAAACCGTAATGTGACCAAATCACCTGGAGAGTGGGTTGGTAGGAATTGAAGTGCCACTGTTTGGCTTATGATAGTGAAGAAGAGTTTGTGTCGAGGGAGGATCTGAGTGTGAATGTTGTACCCAAGGCACAAAAAAAAAGTGTTGATTTGTGTGGTGTGACCCGCTTTCTGTTATCAGCACAAAATATTGCTGAGAACCGCATTTTCCAACAAAGTAGAAGGTGTAACCAGTGAGGGCATTATTCTTCTTTACGGGTCGTGTCGTTTCCTCATCATGGATTCACCATTTTTTTTTTTTTTTAACTGATCTGGGTTGAACCAGACCCTCGAGCAAGGCACCGGAAGCCCAAACAGCTCGAATGAAAAAAAGAAAATGCTGTTTTATTGGGGCTCCAGTTAAGCTCGAGTGAACTGTAAAGTGAAGTGCTGCTGAAAAGGATATATACATAGATCCTGGGCGTGTTGGGATTCGACCTTTGACGGCATCTTTTATGTGACAAAAACTGGGCTGCTGGCCAGATAGTGAAATAATAAATTGTTGATATCTGGAGGGGAAACCAAACGAACACTCTCTGGACATGGTGATATACCGCAGGGAAGATTTACCAGTTCCAATTGAGGGATGGATCTGACTGGGGGGGAAATTTCTCCTTCCCATCAATCCGTCTTCATTTCACCACAGCGGGATCACTCTTACATTCGCCTCTTTATCTCTCTCTT